ATCCTGCATGGAGTTGACGCAACTGAAATGGCAAATCATTCCTCACTTGAAGGCATAAAATTTGATCGAATCGTTTACAACTTTCCTCATGCTGGTTTTTTTGCCAATGAAACAAGTGAATCACAGAAAAGGTTAGGAAACTCATCTGTCTAATTTCATATGGTATCATGAAACTTCATCCAGATGAGATTTTTTTTTTTTTTCTTCAGCCGGCATCAGATGCTGATATCGTTGTTTTTCAAGAATGCTGCACAGATGATACATGGGGATGGAGAAGTTCATGTTACACATAAATCACGTGGCTTCTTTCTTGATTGGAATTTAAAACATCTAGCCTCCACTGCTAGGTTACAGCTCATGGAAGAGGTGCCCTTTAATTTCACTGATTATGAGGGCTACCACACCAAGTATGGCTTTGGTGGTGACAAGAATTTCAACTGCAATCCCTGCAAAACTTACAAATTTAGACTCCAGCCACCAGAATCTCCAACAGCATCATCCACAACCACAACCACTGTTAATGCTCACCATAAAATGGCATTTGCAATTTAACTTTAAGTCAGTGCTTGGTTGTCTTTCTTGTTAGTATAGTTCCTTTAATCCAGGAACCATGCCTCTAGATATTTTATATATGCAAAGGGTTTGATGGATTAGGTGGAGTTGTAAGAACAAACATCACTTAATGTTCTATCGTTGGCACTAGATTGCCTGATTTTGTAATCTAATATATACAATCAGTTATGAATGAAATACCATCAAGGAAAAACCAAAAACTGAGCTCCTAGCAGCGTCCCAATCTTCATCTCCATTTCTTCTTGTTCTTATTTCTGCAAAATACCAGCAAGCACACCAACAATTGGTATCAGAGCCCTTTTTCTTGAGGGAACTGTTAAAGAGAAAAAACAAGAGAGAAGTGAGAGAGAGTAAACATGAGAGTTTGTGAGGGAGAGAAGTTGTGACCAACTGATACACAGCAATGTCTACTAGTAATCCCACAACTGGTTCACTTTTTAATTAATCCACTCTTGTTTACAGGAGAAAACTATAACATCTGGGCCATCAAGATGAAAACTTTTCTTAGAGGCAATGGTGTTTGCGACTCAATAGAGAATGAGTTTAATCCTTGAAGGTTGGCTAACAATCCTACGGTAGCTCAGTTGAAGAGTCACTCATAGTATGTGGAAAAAGCTTACAAAGCACTTTCCTACATCCGTAGTGTAGTAGATTCAATTTCCAAGACTCATGAGTGTAGAAACAGCACAAACGGCATGGAAAATTCTAAAGGATGAGTTTGAAGAGGTTACAAGGATTAAAGGCAACAATGTTGTCACACTGAAGAGGCAATTTGAGATGCTGAAAATGGCTGCAGATGAAACTATTAACCAATATTCAACATAACTTATTGATTTGGTGAATGAGATCAGAACTAACGGTGGTGATTTTCCTAAACAAATAATTGTTGAGAAGATCACGGTTGGTGTTCCAAACAAGTTCAAATCCAAGATTTCAACCATAGAAGAAACTTGTGACTTGGATACATTGACTGTTTTTGGGCTTATCAACAAATTAAAAGCTCATGAATGGAGATTGATAATAAAAGGTGTTGGTGTAACAACAGAAGGTGCTTCCGAGCAACACAAAGAGCTACAACCTCGGATGGTAAGCCTTCTCTTGACAGAAATGACAAAGGAAAATCAATTGAAAATCAGGCTCAACAATATCAGCTGGACCAGCAATACAAAAGAGGTAGTTCCCCACCATGCTCTCATTGCGCAGATTTTGCAAAAAATTTGGTCATATTGAAAGGAATTATAGAGCCAAGCAAAATCAATACAAGGTAAAACAGCCTCAACATGCTAATTATACAGATGAGCAGCATCAAGAAGATCATCTGTTCATGGCAATGCAAAATGCTACTTCATCTTCATTAGCATCATGGTTTATTGACAGCAGCTGCACCAGTCATATGGCAAAGGAGACAGCTTTGTTTATTGATTTGGATAAAAATGTGAGAATCAATGTGAAGCTAGGCAATGGTATAGTTGTGCAATCACAAGGCAAGGGAACAGTTTCAATGCAAACACTAACAAGTATCAAGCAATTTCTAATGTTCTTTATATTCCTAGCTTAAGCCAAAATCTGCTATTAGTGGCTCAGATGATGAATAAGGGCTATTCGTTGTCATTCAAGTATGGCTATTGCATTATATTTGATTCACATGGAGTTGAAATAGCAAATGTGAAAATGGTTGATAATTCTTTTCCACTACATTAGGATAGAGTACAGCAATATGCGTACATGACAAAGCACGATGATGGATTTTTATGGTACCAAGGATATGGGCATTTTAATTTTAGAACTCTCAAATACATGCAAGCACATGATTTAGTTAGAGACTTACCTGATTTACATGTTAGTGTGAGGATGTGTGTCATTGTTGTCAACTTGGCAAGTTGCTTAAATTGCCATTTTCTGTTAACAAGGCTCAGAAAGCTTCTAAGAAGCTAGAATTGGTGCACACTGACATTTGTAGTCCCATGAGGATTACTTCACTCAGCCAAAATGGATATTTTATTCTGTTTATTGATGATTTTACAAGGATGACTTGGGTTTATTTCCTCACCAATAAAGCTCAAATTTTCAACGCTTTCAAAAAGTTCAAGGCTTTGGTGGAAAACCAAAGTGGATGTAAAATCAAAAGGTTGAGATCAGCTAATGGCAAGGAGTACACTTCCGTTGAATTTAGCAAGTTTTGTGAAGACATTAGTATTGAATATCATTTAACCATCAGTTATACACCAGAGTAGAATGGAGTGTCAAAAAGAAAGAATAAAATAGTGATGGAAATGGCCAAATGCATGCTATTAGAGGAGAATTTGCCAAAGTCATTCTAGGCAGAAGTTGTTTATATAGTTGTTTATCTTCTCAATGGTCTTCCTACAAATGGTCAATACATGATCAATGCCCTGTGGGTCTGTTGGGGTGGTCCGGGTCATGGTTGGTTGATCTGAACAGGGTGTTTTGATGATTTGGCAAAAGAGGCCAGAATCCTCGTTACGGACATAGTGTCGACACTTTGTTTGGGTGTCGACACCTTGTATTAAGTTTTGTTATCTACGGATTTGGAGTACCCCTTGTATTCCGTATATTAATAAATAACACTTTCGCTGTTCAAAAAAAAAAAAAAAAAATGGTCTTCCTACAAAGGTAGTCAAAGAAAAGACTCATAGAGGCCTAGTATGGGTCAAAACCTTCTGCAAATCATCTCAAAAATTTTGATTCATTTTGTTATACACATATTCCAAGTGTCATGTGAGGAAAATTGGATTAAAAGGCCAATATTGGGATTTTTGTTGGCTATGCAACTCAATCAAAAGGATATAGAATTTATGATGTCCAAACTAAGAAGATTAATGTGCATAGAGATGTCAAGTTTGATGAACATGCTGTGTGGAATTGGGAAATAGGAAAAGTTGAGAGCAATTTGTTTCTAAGCAAGATAAAGACATTGCAATAGACTCTACAACTCATGGTTCAAGTTCAAAAATTGATGAAGTAGATGATGATTCTCCTATCCTCAAAACCAAATCCCTCTCTAAGATTTATGAAAAGTGTAATATGGTCGTGCCAATACCTTCAAGCTTTGAAGAAGTAGCAAAATAAAAAGTGTGGGTTGATGCAATGCAGAGGATCTTTATAGCTTAAAACAGGCACCAAAAGCCTAGTACAGTAGGCTACATGCCTACTTGACACAGCGTGGATTCAAGAGGAGCATCAAAGAACCAATCTTGTATGTAGAAGGTTCAAACAAAGATTCGCAGTTTATAGTTTTGAAGAACTCAAAAAAATGCTTGGAGTTATGAATGCAAATGCCAAGGAGGAGTGTTAATACTCTTCGTAAAATAACAATCAGTTATGATTGAAATACTAGAAACACCAGAAACTGAGCTCTTAGCAACAAGCTAGTCTTCGGGTGTGTTTGGTGCAGCTTCCTAACTGCTTCAGCTTCTTAACTGCTTCACCTTCTTAACACCATTTATGTCTCATAAGTTTAAAATTTTCTCCTAAAAACTTATATTTTTAAACTTTTTTTCACTTTTAAAAAGACTCTAAACAGTAGAAGATCAAAAGCTTCAAATTTAAATTTTTCATAAACTTCATTTTTACTCACTTTTTACTCACTTTTACTCACTTTTTCTTATCTCTAAAAGCAACTTTTAAATTTTCACTCTAATAAAAATTTAAACTTATTACTCATAAACAGTATTTTAAAAGTAAAAACTCCAACAAGCTGCACTAAACAAGCCCTTCATCTCCATTTCTTCTTGTTCTTTTTTCTGCAAAATACCAGCAACCACAACTACAATGCAAAGGGAACATAGTGTCCCTGCCAATGCAAAGTTTGTCAACTAGTAGAAGTCTAGAAATTGAGAAAGATGTCGAACTTAACTTACAGGTTAAATTAAAGCATAAATTACAAGAATGAAATCCCTCAATAACTTTTATGAATATCATAATTGTACGTATGAGAGCTACATGAGAGAAAAAGGATCATAACAAAAAAGATGATCAACAACTACTTTCTACGCTTGGGAGATGCAGTTTTGTATCCACACTTGGTTGGCTTGCCCCAAGGAGTTTGCGAAACCCTACCAAAGCTCCCACTACTTTTGCTTCGACCCTCACCTCCACCATGGGGATGATCAATTGGATTCATTGCCACTCCCCGAACAACTGGCCTTCGACCTAACCACCTACTGTGTCCAGCTTTCCTGAGTTTCCGAGTCCCATGGCTTGGATTTGATACCACACCAACCGTGGCCCTGCACTTGGAATCAATCTTCTTCTCAGCACCGGAGGGTAGTCTGATAATACAGTACTTAGAGTTAGGCTCCTTCAGGATTTTAGCTGAAGTTCCTGCAGCTCGAACTAGCTTCCCACCTTGGCCAGGGTTGACCTCAATGTTGTGGATGATTGTTCCAATTCGCATGGCACCGAGTGGCATGCAACTTCCAATTTGCGAATTGATGTCGAGATGAAGCAACTCCCTTTTCATGTTCTCAATCAATGATTGATTATTCATATCCAGAGCAACTGGGAAATCCTCAAGTCAAGTTGAACAAAATTTCCAGTCACCAACATAAACAAAAATTCGATTCCTTTTTCCTATACCATACAGCTTCTCCGTAGAGAAGATAACATTGAAACAATATCAAATTG